TATAGAAAATGACTTGGATAAGAAACCTCCTTATGGAGGATCAATTTTAGAATTAATTTTTTGATTCCATCAACGTTTTTGTAATTATTATTCATAACTCTCCCCAAGCCAAGATTCCGTAAAGTAATAGAGGATAAACAAGATAAAGATTATTTAGATATTTCTTATCCAGAATATCTCAGATGCCCCTGAATTTTGGAACAATACATCTCAGTTTCTTCACAAGGTAGTTACTCTGTATATGTATTCCATTTCAAGTGTTTGTCCAAAATTGCGCCCAACTATTTTATTTTATCAGCTAACTGATTCTCTCTATGAGGATATAATCATGGGTATCGGTTCGCAAAACAGCAGAGCCAGACTTGAAAATATTATCAGATTTTTTCACTCTAAAATTTTAACAACAAATATCAGTAAAACATGTGTCTTACCTTTCTATAATAGCTCCAAATTTCTCATCGTTAGATATACAAAATAGTAATGGTATACAGATAAACCGAGCGTCTAAAATAAAATATTTAGGGATAGTGATTGATGCCCGCCTTAAATAGCATGCTCAGGTTGAGTATCTTACAAATAAACTAAGATCGCTAATACCAAGATTCAATTTATTTCGAGGTTTTTTATCTACAAAACAATATATTATGTCCAATCACTGTTAGTTACGGCATTGTTGAATGGGCCGGAGTCTGCCTTCGGCATTAAAAGAACTTAAACAAAAATTGATTTTGAAAACTATTTTAGGTGACAACATTCTTTACTCAACCGAAACAGTGTATCTGGATTCTTGTGTTTTCAGTATCGGACAATTATATTATATGAACCTGCTGTAATTTATTTATAAATACAAACATGCGCTCCAGAGTCCAGAATATAACCATGAGATAAGGTGTAAAACACTATCAGTTCAGACCCGAAGGATGAATAAGCAAATTGAGCAAATGTCATTTGAATATATAGGCCCACGGGTCTTTAATCTTCTTCTTCATGAATATAGACAACACACTAATTACTATACATACAAAAAACATATAAAACCGTGGATACAAGAACGATAGTGTATATGTAGGTATTTATAAAATAATAAATTAATTTATATTTAGATTTTCTCAACAACAGCTCACGACCTACTTCTAGAACTGCAGAAATTTATAGGGTTTTAGTCTAATTCAGTTCATTTTTAAACAATAGATATGATAAATTTGTGTAATTGTGTGATATAAACATATATTCATTAACAATCAAGAATATACCAAAATATATCAAATATACTATTTATAAGAGAAACAATATATTCGTATGACGATTACAATGTTTAGTATCGGTATATATCCTCGCATAGGCTTCTGCGGGTACTCTATGTTTATTTGTTTTGTTCCAGATCAATTTTATTTTATAAATAAATATTATTATTATTATAAATGAGACAACAGTCGATGCTTTACACAGAGGGATTGTGCTACTGATAAGAATTGCTTTTTAGATCATCTCATCAAATCCGCTCTTCCTATTACCGCACTTCTAAGAAATGGTGGCAAGACAGTTGAATGCACAAACCTATCATGAGTTCATAAAGTATTAGGTTCGGCATACCATGGAGCTATTAAAGTTATTTATAAGTTGTTTCGTCCTTGCCGTTGTTCTAAAATTTCATCAAAATCCGAGTGGTACTTTCCAAGTTATAGACTAGCGAATAGACAAACCGACAGACAGGGCGAGAGACCAACCGACTAACAGACAGACAGATTGACACGTGAACCCAAAAGAACATAATACCTTATTTCTGGAATTTGAGGTACCTCGTAGAACTACATTTCATGGAATTACATCGGAGCGCTTTTTCACAGCTTCGAGTTGGATCTCAAATATCGATACGACTTTCTGAACAGCAGGAGGGGTCCTTCATCCTGTTACATGCATTGAATTCCGTGATTAGCTATGCATGACTTTACTCTGTCTTCAAAGTACACGGTTAGTAGTCAGGGAGATAACGATAGTTTTTATGAGAGTATTTAAAATACTGCATAGATACATGTCTGATTTCTACCATTCAACTCAAGTTGTTCCACATTGAAAGTCTGTTTGCCCAACCGCCATCTTTTGCTTGACTCTGCTTGCTGCTAGTGTCGTAATAACTGTTTTTGATTTGACTCACGCTTCATTTTGTACAGTAGACAAAGTTGCCGAAATAAATCAACACGAATATACATTAATCTTGACAGTTCTGTTAATAGAAAACACCAACAAAAAACCTTTGAGGCCCACTTCCATTGAGGAAAGGAAAACGATTTATGTTATGAAAATGTGTCATTCAATAATGTTTATTGTGGTGCGATCATATCGCTTTCCTCCCCCTCAGTGAACGTGCACCTCTACCCTCAACTGTTGGTTCGTTGATGTCAACAGAGGAGCATCAACCAAATATTGATTGATAACACAAGAAGCTCAACGAAACGTTGAAGGGGATCAATTGTTGAAATTAAGGAATATAATGGATAGAAAATAAGCGCAGTTCCTTCGCTTTTTGAGGTGTTGTATTCAAGTACTGATGTATACTCACTCCCTGACCCATTCTCGGGAGACAAAGTGCAAAAGTCTCGAAGTCGTTCAAGAGACTCATCTCGAAAGATGAACTAAACCTCATACTGAAATAAACGAAAGTCCATGTGTCTATAGATTAAGGATTTCAGGTTCTTTTAGATGTATCTATGATTATTTGAAATTTTTCACGGTCCTCCAGGTGGCAGTTCATTTTTTGCTTTTGACATTCCTATATAGCGTGTAACTACAACAGTCTGAACTGTCCTGTATCATGATGAGAGTGCACGAAGCCAGCATTGAAATTTTAAGATAGTGCTGCCTAAAACCAGCTTTCAGATTTTATTTCGCAAATATCGTCAGAACTGTCACTTGTACATGAAAAATGCCATCGTGGTGACCGAAAAGTCGTGTCAGTACATAGTAATTCAAATATATGTAATTTCATTTAGCTGACAAACAACCATATAGAATTATACAATGATTAATAGGAAAACTGCTATCACACTGATATGACAATTTTGTAACTGCTTCTCCGCCTACATGCTACATGCCCAGAGTACCCTCACAGCTACACGGATATTCAAATTTACCGATAAACCTTTGAGACCGTTGTGTTCTTTTGTAACAGTGAGCTTTCAAAGGAGGTAATCCAGAATTAGATATTTCCATCTAGTGCGTCTAATGCACCCCTGAAGTATTAAGTAGATTTTTTTATATCGAAGCTGCCGTGTAGACAGAAGCCTAAACACCAGGGCACCACGGCCGCTATAAGGGGCTTAAAGAGATTTTGTTCATTCGATTGTTGAATTACTTGAGATTGGGAAAAGCCTCCTAAGGCAGATTGCTCCTCAATCTCGACACTTTACGAATAAAGGAGAAGGCATACCGGCTAGTTCTGGATGTATGATAGGCTTAGGATGGAAGGCGGAAGTCAGGCAGATCACGAGGTAGTATCATGGAGGCGAGCTCTGAGGAGCACAGCTCTTGGACATATAAGAGGCTATATCTTGCGCGTCAATAAACCTTACACACCAAGCACTGCAGGTTGTGGCTGGTATACCGCCAATTGGTTTGCTGGCTACGGAGAGATGTGTGCTCTATAAAAAGGGCGTCGAAGCTATAAGCGACGCTTTTTGTCAGATGGCAGGACAGATGGGGTGAAACTGGCCATGGTAGATGAACCAGAAGGCTCTTCCTAGATATTAAAATTTGGATTGACAAGGGAGCAGTGCGGATAAATTACTATACCTCACAGTTCCACATAGGACATGGTTGTTTTGACGGCTACCTGAAGAGAGTAGGAGAGTAGGAAAGAGAAAGTACGTTATCTGAATATTTTGCAATGGATAAGACGATACTCCTAATCACTTACTTGAATCTGGTAGGTGGATTGAGTACCAGACACAACTTGAACAGAGGCTCGGCGAGGCCAGAGAGGAAGTCAGTCACCCATCTGCAAAGCTTCTCTGGATGACCATAGGATTTAAATTTAAGTAAGAGGGCATCATGCCACAACTGATCGAAAGCTTCTGTGATATTAAGAGCAACAACATGAGCCTCACTGGTTTTGAAAATTGGTCCAGTGATGGCGGAGTTAGAGGCATGAAAGGAAAAAAATCGCTACAGTCTCGTTTTTTGACTTTTAAGAGAAACACCTGTGACCACGTATGTATTAGTACATATTTCACACATCACAGTTTTCTTGCAGATTTGCTTTTAAAACATAAATACGAGGGATGTCGTTTTAAGTTTTGCAAATAGATACATAGTAGGCCGCGCGGATCGAACGCCAGTCCTGAATCTTAACCTCACTCTTTAGTAAACTTAAATTCAAAGTTTCACAGCAATATGTGCAGTGTTCTCACTACAGTGAATTTTTAAGAGTCACCAAGTCATTAGAAAAATAGAACTCAACCGAGGACATTTTCGCGCCATAATTTATTACAACTTTCAGAAACAATTATCGCAACAAGAATGCCTTGCTGAGTTATTGTCTGTTTTCCGTAACTAAGTGCCATACCTGTCGACAATTCCCTGTCGGTATGGAGACCTCAAACGTGGACGGGTTAGCGACGATCCCAGGGTGGGTGCACCAAAAACGACAGTCAGCCAGGAAAACGTCGATGTTGTGCGCAAATTCATCATTGAAGATAGACATGTGACATATCGCGAGATTGAGGCGTCCTTGAAGATCTCAAAGACCTCAATTCAAAAAACCTTACATGAAGAATTAGGATTATTAGAATTAGTTTCTCGTTGGATATCCCACTTATTGACTGAAGAGCAGAAAGCAGTCAGGGTAAATTGGTGTCAAAAAACGCTTGACCGTTTCAATTCCGCAAACTCAAAAAATGTGTACAACATTGTTAGTGGTGATGAATCGTGGATTTACTGTTATGAACCAGAAAATAAACGACAGTCAGCTGTTTGTGTGTTCCAAGGTGAAGAAAAGCCAACAAAAGTTATCCGTTCTCGAAGTGTTTCGAAAAAGATGGTCGCGACATTCGTGTCAAAAGCGGGTCATATTGCATCAATTCCGCTTAATGAACAAAGAACTGTTACTGCGGATTAGTATACCACCATTTGTTTGCCAAAAGTCATCACCGAGCTTCGAAAAATCAACCCCGAAAGAAGAATCATCCTCCACCAAGACAATGCAAGCTCGCACACAGCCCAAAAAACAAGGCGGTATTTAACGGAAAAAAAACGTGGAATTATTGGACCATCCTCCATATAGTCCCGATGTAAGTCCTAACGATTTCTTTACTTTCCCGAAAATTAAAAACTGACTGCGTGGTCAAAGGTTCCAGGCACCAGAAGAAGCAGTTGACGTATCAAAAATGCCGTTTTGGACCTGCCAGCAAACGAGTGGGATAAGTGCTTCGAAAATTGGTTCGAGCGCATGCAGATGTGTATTAATCTTCGTGGGTATTGCTTCGAAAAACAATAAAGTCATTTAAAACTACCTACCGTGTTATTTTATTTCCATATGCAAAACTTGAAAGGCATCCCTCGTATCCACACGAGCGTCTTGTATTCCGGTCGCGGGTCTCAAGGCAACCTTGTTGCATGAAGCCCTGTGTACGTCTGACTGCATCGTTGCCGCTCTTGATCTAGAGTTATAGTCGCGTTGCTAAATTATAGTACATTGCCGTACATAGCTACGTAGTATGTACTTGTCGATTTAGAAGGAGTGCGGTGGTGGTCCCTTCACCAATACAGAAGATACTGCCCTCCATGACTGATGTATCCTCAGCGTCTAGGCTATCCAAGTCCTCTGATTGACTACTGGTAGTTAGCGGAGGTTTGTCTGGCACCATGGTCTGGTCAAAAGCAATGGTTTGATCAGAACAAATTTGCATGGGTTTGAAGCTCGACGCTTTTTTCTTTGTCTGCACATGCGATGGTTGTATTTCTTGACAACAAGCTATTTGACAGGATTTTTCTCTATATTCCTTACTAGATTCTCGGTTATGTAAAGTTTTACTCTTGTTATCCACTTTTATCTTCATTTGGTGCAGTAAGTTCGCCTTGTAAAAACATATTTTCGAGCTCTTTACTCAATGTCATTATTTGTCTGTCCTTCTCATCAGCTTTCTCAGCGAATCTATGTATTTGTCTTTTTCACCGGCCTTCAAATCACTCTTTTCCCCACAATATATTTTATGCTTCTCTAAGAACACTGTCTCTTTTTTCCTGCTACAGCAGGCTCTGTGGTATACATTTTTGTATGTAACATATACAAGATTCGACAAATCTTGCGGCATTCAAAATTTTGTGGTAATATTTTTATTGTAAGACATGTTTGATTAAAGGTAACTAAAATTAGTACTAACTGTTGTTTAATTCTTGCTAGGCTCTTTCAGAATTCTTTGAATTCCATTGCTAAAACCACTTGGTTTATCAAGTACGGGTAGGGTTAACAAAAAATATGATAACACTGGTTGCTGATTATATTAATAGAGCCACTCATCAACTTCTATAAATTTTACCATAATTGAGAACGTATAAACCAGTGGTCGCCAACCTTTTCAGTGTGTTGAGCTACTTTGACAATTTTTGAATAAATAGTGAGCTACCTAGTCGTAAGCACTGTAAGCCAACTTAAATGAAATTATACACAGTTGTATGCGACATATGTGTTTATCTTACTAATACTAATACATACTGGTAAACATAAATAAACTAATAACCAATACATACTACATAATTACATCCATTCCCACCAATCGTAAGTGTTTGAAAAATAAACAAAATTTATCGTCAGCTACAATGGCATGTCACATTGAATTTAATTTTTTTTTCTATATCGAAGCAGCCGCGCAGGTAAAAGCCGAAATGCTGGAACACCGCGGCTGCTATGGTGGTCACAAAGAAGTTTTGTTAATTCGATTTTTGAACTGCTTAAGGTTAGTTGAACTGGGAAAAGCTTCCTCTTGTAGATTGTTCCACAATCTCGACACCCTAGGGACAAAGGAGCAGTCGTATCGGCCAGTTCTGGATGTACGAAGTTCGACACGGTTAGGATGGGACGCCAAAGTCAGGCGGGTCTGTCTGGGAGGCACATCGCGCGGCGGATCGAGAGCGCCAACGACGTAGTCATTCGCAGGGCTTGATGCACAAAGGAAGAAGCCCCGTGACAGATAGACGAGAAGCGACTGTAAATATGTTTGTAGTTTTAAGCGCCAATGTACGGGAACATCTATGATGTGTGAAATATGTCTTCTAAGTGCGTATAATTACCGGGGTGGGAAGTGTGTTAATGTATTAACATCAAAATATTATCGAAACTGTCCCATGAAAAAGTTTTCAAAGCCCTGAAATTGTGAGGTTACGTCAAAGTAAAAGATAAATAAACAACCCGTCACGATTCGCAATAGTCGGTATTGTAAAAATACCATCGTACTTTTAATGGTATCTCTCTCAAGAACTCTTGTTTTTCCAACAGCTACTATATCCAAGTGTAAAAATAAACAACGGTAGGCACGATCCGTTATTTTTTTGTGACACTAAACACTCTAATATAATCCAGTAAAGAATCTGAAGGAATATTAACTTTCTGAAATTAAATCCAGTTCAATATCCATCATATTCGACGGAATTACGTTTCACTAATAATAACAATTAACTATTACATATTAAGCGGAAATCATAGACATTTTCGATCAGTTCTCAGAAATTGAAACATCAATGATTTCAGATTGGCGAACACATAACATTTTTGTAATGGTAACGCTAAACTATCAGTTCTCCGTAAAATTACAGCGATCCGTATGGCAATCAGGAATAGGGAAGCCATTATTCTCCATATTTAACGATAACAATAAAATGTACCGGACGGATTCGCCAATGCCTATTGCAAAATAGAGGTAACTAAAAATAAAAAAGCAACGCACCATTTTAAACAAAAACATATTCAGATCAAAAATGCGTGTTCAATGAGAAGCCTGACACTCAGACTCACTGACAATTTTTTCATTGTTTGGAGTATAATTTGATACCGCCATTCGAATACAATTATTCAAATTTTCATCTGTAAGTCGATTACGGTATGTATTTGTTTTTAAAAGGGCCAATTTCACCAACAGCAGTGCGGTATGCTCCACCTGTAGGGTAACAGACCGACAAATACAACGAATGAGCTTCATGTTCCAATCAACAAATTTTAGCAACCAATAGCTATGAAATGTTGAAAACAAAATACTGTCAAAGTATGAGATGACAGCTTGTCATTGAAACATCACCAGCTTATTGAATATTAAGAAATTACATATAATTCAGTCAAAATTTAAAGAAATGTTGGATTTTTGAATAAAATTCATCTTTTAATTACTATTGTTGATTTTTTATTCATATTTATATTATTTTATTCAATTGATATGCGATACTGGGTGTTTTTTAAACCTCTTGCAGATAGCCATTAAGCACCTACTTGATGACAGGCTCTACCAAAAGATATTGCTCGTTTCCAAACATTCATGCATTTACTTGCCGTTCATCAGAACCATTATGGCACCTTAGATTGATATTCCCACAAAACGATTCAGGTTTTTTGATATCCATACATCCATAAAGTTGAATATTTATCGTTGTTCAGGAACTGAACAAACATCCACACTATATTCACAGTGATTAAGAAATTCCCAAATATATGCATTAAAGCTACCCACAGATCTAAAATTTGCAAAAAAACTACAAATTTGCCATATTTTTCTTTTTTCACGAGTACACATTCTAGGTTATATTTATAATAGACATTATGTGAATACAGCTGATTATTGCATTTCAAGGAGTGACACATGTGTGGGATCTGTGAACTCTTGGTACCAGTCACAAAACATACTCTGAAGGTTTAATTCCATGCTATTCAATGACAACACGGTGACTTGTGTGGTTGTCAGCGGCCATTTTGTGAGGGTGCGACAGGGTTGCCAGATTGTGCATTACCCTGCTTCACCCTCCTGGTCCCAGTGGAGTAAGTTCCGCCAACTGTTGAAATATACTCTACTATGCTTTATAAGACTATTCGTGACATTTTTCCCAAAATCATTGCACAACACTTGAAAAAATGCAAATGAAAATATAAAATTATTTCCATGACGCCGCAAAATAGCTCCGTCGGTACCTTGGGTTATACATCTTGACAGTAGTGATGTTCGATACGATCCTATATTTAGAAGTATCAATACATTTCACGAGTATCGTCATCTTTCGATCCGGATTGTGTCAGAAAGAGTGACTGCCATTTGGCTGCGACATTACCCTGTTAAATCAGACACATCTTTCATCATTTTCAAAGAAATTGTACAAAATCTCCAAATTTGTGAAGTTAGCGAGTTTCACTTCATACGTTGTTACCAGACATGCCCAAATCATCAGTTGCTGCCGTGATATTCATCCCGACTACTGCATCCCCACGCCTAGGCAACCTGTATGTTAAATTTGTATTGATAGGGCAGCGGGTTATGCTATAAATCATATGTCACAGAGTTTGTGCACTGATTGCAACGGTTAGATGATACCAAAAATATTTTCATAAATAGGAGATCTTTCCCATTCCGGATCGAACAATCTACCAAAGATGCTTATAATCATGATACCTAGTAAATTTTCACGAAAAAAAATTCAAAACCAGCAAATGTAAACGATTCATTTCGCACCCTCCACCACGGGACGTCATCATCGTTGGACTTGGCAACCCTGCGAGTGACAGATAGATATCCCCGCCAGTCAAAAAGACTAACATTACTAGATTTTATGATTTTTGGACTTAAAAGACATTATTTGTGAAACACTTTTCATAATTTTTTGTCTATGTCCATAATAATTGCATTATGCATCAGGGAGATGTAGGGATTGACACGTCTTACACATATCATCTGTGTTTTAGGATGGAGAGGACATAATGTTTTTATTGCTTTGAAGAAATTCATACACCCATAAATTAATAAATGATTACTATTATGACGTAAAGGAAGATGAGGAATCGGATGGAATGTATTTTATATTCTATTTTCTTGCAAAATACAGACAAATCCACACTATTCAACAGGTACGTAATGATAACTTTCAGTATATTGAAGTTGGTAAATTCGAAAGTGCCATGCATTAACAAACGTCCAAATCTGCTGCCAAATTTAACAGCTAGAAAATCGACCTATTATTTGCCGCATTCTCATTCGCTGAGGGGGATAACGGATTGTTAAATGTAAACCTATAACGTACATCAAAATACATGAAAGTTGTCCTTGTTTATAATGCAGTCGAATTTTCACAATTTAATTCAATATTTCAAAGAAATGACTAATATTCAGAGACCTTTGACAGCTTCTGTCAAATTGCATTTCGATAAGGTATTTTCCCATTGGTCCATAATATTAATGTTGGTGAAATCAGCCCTAAATAACGCTTTCACTTTCAAGGCAACACGATATGAAACTGAATATTTATCATTACTTACTGAAG